ATATTAGAGATCAGGGACAGATAAAATCCATCAAAAGTTCAGTTTTATCTCACTTCGTTGATAGTGGTCACTTGGTAGATAAGAACAATGCTTTCACAATTATTCACCTTATGCCAACTCATCATTTGAAAGGTATTCGAATTTGTCTTCTACACACAGCAGAAGCTGTGGGAATTCCAGCTAATAATCATAGTCTTTGTATTCAGAAGAAGTTTGTACATCCCTTGACCAGGGAATACTTAGTTAATAACTTTATCATTCAGTTTTTTTTCCTACCCATTTTCTTATTCCCCACCCCGACCGATAGCTGCTACCTTGACGTGGTGGTCGGGCTTGCGCATCACAATGACCCAACCACCTACGCTGGTGGAACGCTTGTTCCCTCGAGGTCCTACCATACCAGAAAGGTCTGTTGGATAGTGGTTAAACGAAAAGCACTTACTGTTGTGGTGTAAATTATTACACTATGATGGGGGTCTGAGGGCGAAGTCGTACTGCTGCTAGCTGGATGGGGTGTGACAGCAGTAAGGTGTTTCCCTTGGATGACCAGCAGTGCCATGCTGATGCTGCCTTCTCAGTGGAAGGGGGGGTTAGAAAAGGTCGGCCCCAAAAATAACACACTCCACCATACCCCACGGTCTGCCGGGCCGGCGGTGTTGCCTCATTTCCTTTCGACCATCCGGCCCCAAAAATACAAAAGTTCAAAATAATCATACTCAAAAGGCTGGGTGTGACAGGCCTCAAGCAGATGTCCGATGGGCTCTGCGGTCACACAAATCTCTTTCAGGTACCTTAAGAAGAAATAGCCTTCCACGGTGTGGGCAGCCGGGAAGTGTCAACCGCCCTCACAACTCTGTCAGCACCCAAGTTTCTTCTGACTGCTATCCTCCTCCTCCATCATTACCTTCTAATCTTCCTTCACGTCTCTTAATTAATGATGCTGCATCATCTTCAATTTCTCCTACCTCTGCAGCCTTCGACAACGATCTGAGTCCACAGAACAGCATCCCTGGTCTCCTTAAACCACGCTCCAAATTACATATTGGAGCCTTCAATGTCCGCACCCTCCGTCAAATTGGCCAACAGGCTTCGTTGGCAAAGACTCTAGCAACTCGGGCATGGATGTGTGCTGTGTTTGTGAGACACGCATACAGGACCCAAGTGTGGTTATTCACCTGACCTCTCCTGACCAATCTGGTGAATCTGCAAAATTCACCCTTCGAGTTTCTGGAGATTCGATAGCTAGCTCTCGTGGTCTTGCAGGTGTAGGTATAGCATTAAGCACCAGGGCAGAAAACTCACTACTAGACTGGATCCCAGTTGATAGTCGCCTCTGCGCTATGAGGCTGAACGGCACAGTGAGAACTAAAAGGAATAGTGAGACTCGCCGTTGTCTCTTTGTAATCTCTGCTTACGCACCCACTGACTGTAGTTCGGATGAAGTGAAGGACGAGTTCTACCATAAACTGTCTAACCTCCTCTCGAAAGCCAAACGTTCGGACGTAGTGGTTGTTGCAGGTGACCTCAACGCACAGGTGGGTAGACTGAGTAGGCACTTAGGTGGCACTTTCGGAATCCCAGCTGAACGTACAGATAACGGTGATCGCCTATTACAACTATGCTCAGATAACCGCCTATTTTTAGCCAGCACAAATTTCAGACATAAAGAAAGGCACTGTCTGACCTGGCGTCCACCGAGCTCGACTCAGCGATGGACACAGATAGACCACATTGCTATTAGTCATCGCTGGAGAGGATCGGTGGAAGACTGCCGCTCCTTCTGGAGTACGTGTTTGGACAGCGATCATGCGTTGGTCCGAGCACGTATATGCCTGCGTCTCAATGGACGTAGAAAAAATTTGGCAACAAAACCACTACGAGTTCTGCTGGACAACGAAAACACCAAAGCCGTGTTCAGTGAGAAGTTGGCTAGGCAGTTATCGGAACAAAAGACTGTCACTCATCCAGAAGAAGCTTGGTGCCATCTTCAGTCTACTGTAAAAGCAGCACTGGAGACTGTAGCCGACTCCAAGATAATGGCTAAAAAGAGCCAGTGGATATCAGCAGCTTCTTCCAAACTAATGGATGCACGTGAATGCATCCCTGCAGGCTCTGAGTACAATGAAGAGCGAGCGCAACTTAAAAATAAACTGACGAAAAGTCTGCGCAACGATCGTGAACAGTGGTGGCAGCAAAGGCTAAAGAGATGGAAAAGGCAGCGGCGATCGGTAACAGTAGACAGTTATTTAGACTTATTAAGGAGACTGGGGGGAAATGGTCAACAACAGTTAGTGAGGTTATAGCGGAGAAGGACGGATCGGCGATTCACTCGCAGGGAAGGCGACTGGGACGATGGGCAGAACACTTTGAGGAACAGTTTAACTGGCCTCCAGCCACCATTGCGCTGCCCGCTATCCAGTCGGACCCTGAATGGGACATAGAGACAGGTCCCCCAACACTAGAAGAAGTTGAGAAAGCGGTAGGTAGCCTGAAACGGGGAAGGGCAGCAGGACCAGACGGACTACCTGCTGAGGTATACAAGAATGGTGGTAGAGTTCTCTTAGTCAGGCTAACGGAAGTGTTAGCCAGTATATGGGAATCAAATACGATCCCCTCCGACTGGTCTAAGTCACTGATCATCCCAGTCTTCAAGAAAGGCGAGAAGTCCTCTTGTGATAACCACAGAGGAATCAGCCTGACAAACATAGTGTCTAAGATCCTAAGTTCTATAATTCTCCGACGCCTGAGTGGAGCTCGGGAACAGCAAGCCCGAGAAAACCAGGCAGGCTTTAGACCTGGCCGTGGATGTATCGACCAAATATTCACACTGCGCCAGGTCCTGGAACATAGGCATGCTTACAGACGCCCGACAATAGCTGTATTTCTCGACCTGAAGGCGGCATTTGACTCCGTTGATCGAGAAGTCTTATGGCAGTGTCTGTCACTGAAAGGCGTGCCTAGTAAGTACATCACCTTATTGAAAGCTCTCTACTCGAACACTTGTGGGCATGTTAGAGCCTATGGTGAGTTGTCCAGGGAGCTATACTCATCAAGTGGTGTCCGTCAAGGATGCCCACTATCCCCATTCTTATTTAATTTTATCATAGATATTCTTATGGAGGTTTCCCTCTCGTCACCTAATTACACAGACGTTGACCCGATCACAGGTGAATTTTCTTTAGATCTAGAATATGCAGATGACATAGTCCTGTTAGGTGAAGACGCTGACAAGATGCAGAGTCTTCTGAACACTTTGAGTAGAAATTTGAGAATGTTTTGGATGCGTTTCTCATCACTCAAATGCATATTGTTGCTCCAGAATTAGTCTTCAACGGTCCCACGGTTAACAATAGACAGTAAAGTGGTTGAGTGTATCGACCACTTCACTTACCTGGGAGGTGCAATCAACCCTCCTCCACTAGTTGCCGATGAAATCTCTGCACGAATACAAAAGGCTCAGCTGGCTTTTGCCAATTTATGCCACCTATGGCGTCGCCCTGATATCCGTTTGTCTACTAAGGGTCGCGTGTACTGCACCTGCACAGCAGTCTGCTCTGTTCCACTGTATGACTGTGAAACATGACCATTCAAGGTGGAAGACATGAGAATGCTTCAAGTGTTTGACCACCGTTGCCTTCGTAGTGTAGGCCGCCATATTCCACGGTGTCACCAGGTGAGTAATGCAGAAGTCAAGTATAGAGTTTTAGGGAGAAGAGGTAAATCAGTTGACGAGGTTATGAACCTTCATCGACTGAGATGATTGGGGCACATGTTACGTATGCCTGCCTAATCACCGATTGCCTCATCACACAATGTTGGCTGAGGTGGGTCCAGGCTGGAAAAGGGCCCGAGGTGGCCAGACTGAGACATGGCACCAATGCATGAAGTCTCTGACTGTTGGTTTCAGCCATGTGGGACGATACAGATTAGGTGGTTGGTGTCCGCGGGACAAAAGGAAGCAGTGGTTGGAGAATCTAGGTGATCACATGGCTGAGAACCGATGTCAGTGGTGCAGATGTATACACACATTATCCTCATCTTAACGACGCTATACCGAATCTCACCATTTTCTCATTCTTCCTCTCTCTTTTGTAGTATTTGAAACTTCTTTTGACTTGCTTGATTTTCTTATCTTCATCTTGCGTCTCACTGCCTTTTTACTTGATGTAGTGATATGAAGTGTGTCAAGTGGGACCGTTATGTAGTAATGCCTGGTCCTATGTTGATATTGATTGATTATTCTCCACCCCATTCATATACTTACTGTATTTGAATACAAATGCTAGGATTATTAGCTCGAATTCTCATAGCTTCTGCTAATGTGTAAAAGACGAGTTTGAATATTTTTTGAAAGATGAGATGGTATGCGGTGTATAATCGTGAAAGTAATGTTATTTCTATCGAGTGACCACTATCAAAGAGGTGAGATAAAAATGAGCTTCTGATGGAATTTATATGTCTCTTTCCCAATCATGAAGGTTAAGTCGTCTAGTAGTACGTTGTGGGAATTCGAGCTAATAATCCTAGCCTTTGTATTCAGAAGAAGTTTGTACATCCTTTATCTCTCCCTTGGCCAGGGATTATTTACTTACTGTATTTGTTTAGAATTTGTTTATACACTTACCTTGTCTCTCAGTATTACGTAACTTTTATTTCCCTAAGCTTTTGACCCACTTTGATTATCGGAGTGTTTACATTTTCGTGCTACTTTCTTGGTATAGATTTGAGTGAGAATCTTACATTTCGTATCTCCTTTAATGTAGACTCTCTTCACATAAGTAATGCAATATATTTCGGTACAGCTTTGAGTGTACTGCAGCTGTATCGACCAAAGTTTATCGTGCAGGATTTTCACTCCAGACTCGCTACATAAAATTTGAGTTCCTAAGCTAACCAGTCATATCGCCATATCCTCAGATTTCTATAATGCTATAAAACTTGTAGTAGTTATAAAAGTGTGGAAAGTATTTATTCCCACAACGACAGTGAAAAAAAAATTAATTAAAGAATATCCAAATATCTCTATTTACACATTCATCAGCAATCCAACATCGTTAATTCCTACTTCGGAAAAAACGCTTTGCAAATAAGGCTGCTTATCAGTAAATAACAATCTTAAATCTATGAGAATGTGGGTCTTTCTTTTGATATTATATATTATAAAAGAAAATATTATGAATTTACAGTACATTGGATTACAATACGTATCTATGTATATATTATCTGTTACAAGTGGTTTCTTTAATATATATATATACTACTGATATTATCGGTCATTATTAGTAGTATAACATATGAATAACAAGTTAAAAAAACTGCACGATTCAACCATAGAGAAAAGAAGTCCAGAAAATCACACAAATAAAGATTATTCAGATTAAATGAAGTGAAATAAAGAAAAAAACGACTTTAGAAAAGAATATTATGAACGCCAGTCAATTATATCACTTAAATGAGAACTTTGTAAAATAGTGCAATAATTATTTACAGGTTAGAAGAGTAACAGGTATGCATGCTTACTGTAATAATAAAGTCACAAATAATATAGTATTGATAAGGAATGCTCGGCAAGTAGCAGAAACCATCATCATCGTTAGTTTATCACTACTTCACGTATAAAACTCATCTGAAGGCGATAATCTGTACGCTTGACAGATCGCATTTGGAACACACACACACACACACACACACACACACACACACTGGTAAACAATCACTTCTCCAAAGGCTGATAAATAATGGTAGTTTGTATACAATAGAGATTCTAAAAACGTAAATTTGTTCAGTTTATAAAAACATATTGAAACATAATAATCTGCTGGATAGGATGAACACTGAAAGGAAACAGAATTAAGATGATGGTCAGGAGGAAAGTACTAGAAGACAAAACAAACAAACAAACAAGATAATATTCCTTGAAATGTGTATAACCAAAAGAATAGATGTACGCAGGAACAGTAATATACACTGGAGAGAATATCACTGTACTTGTTGTAAATGTTTTTTTATATACAAGTATAACCTAGATGAGCAATATATGTGAACAAACATATTACACCAAGATAAGTTTATACAAATAATAAATCTCTTTAAAGAATATCTTATCATGTCATACTTCGACGTAGACGATTTGCTAAACGACGTAATTCTGCTTCTGGTAAAGAATTTTCAAAATCATTAAAAAATCGTAAAATATCTTCATCTGGACGAATTGAATAACGTCTACAATTCAAACAATACAAAAAAAAAATAAAAGAAAAATGTATTACATTACTTCATTGAACAATAGCTATGAAGTTACTGATGCATTGGTCTACCAACTGATCTAAGATCATGTCAGCTACTGACTACATCTTGGATTAGTTGGTTGAGGTGATTTCTACAAAACACATTAATATCAGGTAGTATTTTGTACGCAAAAAATTGATAAACCCACACAGAAACGGTAGAACGATTGATGAACCATGATAAACTGATAATTGATTGAAATGTATATTGAAGTTAATGGGAATTTTAAGTTTGAGGTAGTATTCATCAAGTTGATGTCAGTCCATGATGGATGAATACTACCTCAAAATTATAATCCTTATTAACCTCATAATACACTACTGAAGTTTTCATGAGAAGCTATGACCTGTGGAGGGCGTTAACCAGTTAGTTAGAAGGGAAGCGGATACCATCTGAAAACCTTAGGTGATAGTTCGGTTATATCATGAATTGATAGAAGTTGAAAACTGTGAAGCATTGAACTCGACCCAACCTAGTGCTTGAAGTGTTACTGTGTTCTCTGTGAAACCTGAAGGTCCTGAGTTCAATCCCTAACTGGGTAGTGGGTGTGCATTGCTGAGAAGTCCTATAAAAGGATGAGACACCTGTCCACTGCTCCCAGGCTTTCAGGCAGTGATGAACAATACCCCAAAACTAAATAAAAGTTAGGTATGAAGGAAAAATATTCTTCTCAGTAACTTTTGTCAGGTTCTACAAAAACACAAAATCAAATTCCTTAACATAGAAATAGTCAGATATGCGGCGAACGCATTTTGCTATGGATTTGAAATGATAATGAAAATTAGATCCTTCAAGTTTTTAGATGATAGTGTGATTTACATCTGAGATAGCCGTGGTTTGACAGGCTGGTATTGATAGTGGGTGAGAGCACACTGGGCAGAGCAACGGGCCGGAAACCCGGTGGTCGCCGGTTCGAACCTGGATACGGTCCAAATTTTCATTTCAGCTGTCAAACCATGGATATCTCAAATTGTCAAAATCATTCTCAATATGATGCTCCTCCCTCTAATTCACTTAGATTTCGATTGAAGGGAGAAGTCCTCAGTAGGCAACCAGTGTGATTATGACCAAGTGATAGTAACGTGTCACGAATTCACATGGTAGTCGGGCAAAACCCATTGCGACTGAAGTGAAATAAAAATGTGGTCAGAAGTCGGACCTCGTAGCTCAGTTGGGAGAGCGTTAGGTCGGAAACCTGGTGATCACTGGTTCGAACCCGGCTGCGATCCAAATGTTCATTTAACCTATAATCACAACCCGGTGATGCATATATGTATGGCACTGTAGGCAGTCAGAAGTCAACTAAATATTGACTCAGAACTTACTCACAAAACTAAGATATCACTTGGCGAGATTATATTAAGCATACAGTTATGCTTGACTTCCACAGTCTTCAAGTTTCAGAACAAAATATACAGACAAATAGAAAGAGTAGCAATCGGATCACCAATATCCCCAATCGTAGCAGATATATTTATGGATAGTTGGGTAAACATGGATTCACAAACGTTTAATCCTACACCCAAAATATGGTGGCGATTTGTGGATCACACATGTACTATGTTGAAATCGGAACATATCGACAATTTCCTCATGCACATAAACTCAGTAGTGGACGCAATCCAATTCACTTACTAGAAGGTAGAAAATGAACAAGGAGAATTACCTATGTTGGATTGCAGAATAAAATGAAGGACAGACGGTGGCCTGGATACTTCTGTCTACAGAAAACCAACACATTCTAACAGGTATCTAAACTTCAAATCATCCCATCCAATGTCAGTCAGTGAAGGCGGTTTTAGTCAAATGTCTAAATGATAGAGCAGCTAGAAAACTGACTAGTCAGAGCAAGAATCTAAACAAGGAATTGAAACACGTAAAAGAGGCGCTGATAGTTAGTAATTATCCTTCTCAGTTTATTAAGAAATTCTTATGGACATAGAAAAAACGAAAAAATAACAGTCACATGAGTGCGACTAATAACGACAGCACGAGTAAAAAGGAGTTCACAGCATCCATTGTATTACCCTATAAGGAGAGTACCTCAGAAACTTTACACAGAATCCTCAACACAGCTGGAATCAGGGTGGCATTCAAACATACAAACTCACTCAGAGATATGCTTCGTCGACTGGCTTAAGGATCCGATAGAATCAATTAAGCTAAATAATCTAGTTCCATATTAGATTTGTTTATTTGATATAAAGCGCACAGTGATACAGTATTATTTACTTGATTACGTTTCGAGCATAAATTATTGCTCATAATCATATCAATGTAATCACACTTCTTTCGACATCTGATTTTATAGTCCTGTCACCTGATCTCTCTTTGTTTTTTTGTTTTTTGATTGGTAGTAAAGTTTTCCATATCTCTGGTATAGGTGTTGCGTCATTCCTATTACATGTGTTGGGTGTGAATTCGATGAACAAAGATTCAGTAATTAATCTCTCTCTCCACCTAGCTATATTAGACTTAAGTACAGTGGTTTTGTCCCATCCTATTGTGTGGTTGTGTGTTAATGAATGTAATGCAATGGCTGAGTGTTTTTCTAGGTTATTGATCTTATTGGGGTCTGTCGTTCTATGTTTAGCTAAATTCCTATGTTCTGTTAATCTAACTGACCCCGACCGGCTAGTTTGACCTATGTATTTGACTTCACAGTCATTACATGGAATTTGGTAGATTATATTATTTTGCTTAATTGGTTCTATCGGATCTTTTAGCCGACAAAGCTTACCTCTAAGTGAGTTTGTTGGTTTAAATGCCACCCTAATTCCAACCTTGTTGAGAATCCTACGTATGGTTTCTGATGTTCCTTCCTTGTATGGTATCACAATAGAGGTGCTGATTTCCTTTCTACTTATGTTGTCACTATTATTTGTATTTGTATTAGTGTTATTATTTTGCTTCTTATGCGTCCGTGTGAATTTCTTAATAAAATGATGGGGATAATTATTAGTTATTAACGCTTCTTTTATGTGTTTCAATTCCTTATTTAAGTCCTTACAATGACTAGTGAGTTTCTCAGCTCTGTTATTTAGACATTTGACTAAACCCGCTTTAACTGACACTGGATGAGATGACTTGAAGTCTAGATACCTGTTAGAATGTGTTGGTTTTCTGTAGACGGTAGTATCTAAACCACCATCTATCCTTCGTTTTATTCTGCAATCCAACATAGGTAATTCTCCTTGTTCATTTTCTACTTCGTAGGTGAATTGGATTGCGTTAACTACTGAGTTTATGTGTGTCAAGAAACTGTCGATATGTTCCGATTTCAACACTGTAAATGTGTCATCTACATATCGCCACCATATCTTAGGTGTCGGATTATATGTTCGTAAAGCCATATCTTCCCAACTATCCATAAATATATCTGCTACTATAGGGGATATTGGTGATCCCATTGCTACTCCTTCTGTTTGTCTGTATATCTTTCCCTGAAACTTGAAGACTGTCGAGGTTAAGCATAACTGCACTCCTAACATGATTTCACCAACCGATGCCTTGGTTCTTTGAGTAAGTTGTGAGTCAGTATCTAGTTGATTTCTGAACTGACCCCGACCGGCTAGTTTGACCTATGTATTTAGAGCTGAGAAACTCACTAGTCATTGTAAGGACTTAAATAAGGAATTGAAACACATAAAAGAAGCGTTAATAACTAATAATTATCCCCATCATTTTATTAAGAAATTCACACGGACGCATAAGAAGCAAAATAATAACACTAATACAAATACAAATAATAGTGACAACATAAGTAGAAAGGAAATCAGCACCTCTATTGTGATACCATACAAGGAAGGAACATCAGAAACCATACGTAGGATTCTCAACAAGGTTGGAATTAGGGTGGCATTTAAACCAACAAACTCACTTAGAGGTAAGCTGTGTCGGCTAAAAGATCCGATAGAACCAATTAAGCAAAATAATATAATCTACCAAATTCCATGTAATGACTGTGAAGTCAAATACATAGGTCAAACTAGCCGGTCGGGGTCAGTTAGATTAACAGAACATAGGAATTTAGCTAAACATAGAACGTCAGACCCCAATAAGATCAATAACCTAGAAAAACACTCAGCCATTGCATTACATTCATTAACACACAACCACACAATAGGATGGGACAAAACCACTGTACTTAAGTCTAATATAGCTAGGTGGAGAGAGAGATTAATTACTGAATCTTTGTTCATCGAATTCACACCCAACACATGTAATAGGAATGACGCAACACCTATACCAGAGATATGGAAAACTTTACTACCAATCAAAAAACAAAAAAACAAAGAGAGATCAGGTGACAGGACTATAAAATCAGATGTCGAAAGAAGTGTGATTACATTGATATGATTATGAGCAATAATTTATGCTCGAAACGTAATCAAGTAAATAATACTGTATCACTGTACGCTTTATATCAAATAAACAAATGTAATATGGAACTACATTCTACCACAGTGCCCAAGTTTTTCACTTATAAATAATCTAATCTATCAAATTCCATGTAATGACTGTGGGTTCAAGTAATATAAGTCAAACTAGCCCGGTTGGGCAGGGTCAGTAAGAGTATAAGTGTAAAACTTGGGCACTGTGGTCGAGTGTAATTCCATTTTAGTCTGTTTATTAGAAATATCACACAGTGAAACAGTAGCATTTACTGGATAACGCTTCAGACATAATTTATTGTCTATATTCATATCAGGTCAGTTAGAATAGCCGAACATAGGGATTTAGCTAAATATAGAATGACAGACCTAGGTAAGATTAATAATGTAGAAAAACACTCGACTATTGCTATGCATGCGTTAACACCCAACCAAACAATGGGGTGGGATAAAGCCACTATACTTAAGTGTTATATAATTAGGTGGAGAGATAGATTGATTACTGAATCTTTGTTCATCGAATCAACACTCAACACATGT